GTCGGGCCCGCTCTGAATAAAGCAAAGGGGCGGCCGAGAGCGCTCTGGGACACAGCACGTCGCGCCGCGCCGGGGAGGGGGGTCCGAGAGCCTGGATCCCCCCCGCGCCTGGGTCCCATTGCGGCTGGTAGGCACGCTGGGCCGGCGGCTCGCCCTGCGGGGGAGGTGCTACCGGCAAACCTCAGCTTTGGCATGTGCTGCTATTGCTACTGCATGAACTGGGTTCCTGAGTGTGTGTGTGTCTGTCTTTCAGAGGGACCTGGCAGGTGACAGAGGTGTGTGTGTGTGTGTGTGTGTGTGGGAGGGGGGGGGGTGGGTGGGGGTGTGTGTGTGTGTGTGTGTGTGTGGGAGGGGGGGGGGTGGGTGGGGGTGTGTGTGTGTGTGTGTGTGTGTGGGAGGGGGGGGGGTGGGTGGGGGTGTGTGTGTGTGTGTGTGTGTGTGGGAGGGGGGGGGGTGGGTGGGGGTGTGTGTGTGTGTGTGTGTGTGTGGGAGGGGGGGGGGTGGGTGGGGGTGTGTGTGTGTGTGTGTGTGTGTGGGAGGGGGGGGGGTGGGTGGGGGTGTGTGTGTGTGTGTGTGTGTGTGGGAGGGGGGGGGGTGGGTGGGGGTGTGTGTGTGTGTGTGTGTGTGTTGCAGAGGGACCCAGCAGGCAAGGGGTGTGTGTGTGTGTGTGTGTGTGGCAGGGGGCGCCGGCGGGGGGGGTGTGTGTGTGTGTGTGTGTGTGGCAGGGGGCGCCGGCGGGGGGGGTGTGTGTGTGTGTGTGTGTGTGGCAGGGGGCGCCGGCGGGGGGGGTGTGTGTGTGTGTGTGTGTGTGGCAGGGGGCGCCGGCGGGGGGGGTGTGTGTGTGTGTGTGTGTGTGGCAGGGGGCGCCGGCGGGGGGGGTGTGTGTGTGTGTGTGTGTGTGGCAGGGGGCGCCGGCGGGGGGGGTGTGTGTGTGTGTGTGTGTGTGGCAGGGGGCGCCGGCGGGGGGGGTGTGTGTGTGTGTGTGTGTGTGGCAGGGGGCGCCGGCGGGGGGGGTGTGTGTGTGTGTGTGTGTGTGGCAGGGGGCGCCGGCGGGGGGGGTGTGTGTGTGTGTGTGTGTGTGGCAGGGGGCGCCGGCGGGGGGGGTGTGTGTGTGTGTGTGTGTGTGGCAGGGGGCGCCGGCGGGGGGGGTGTGTGTGTGTGTGTGTGTGTGGCAGGGGGCGCCGGCGGGGGGGGTGTGTGTGTGTGTGTGTGTGTGGCAGGGGGCGCCGGCGGGGGGGGTGTGTGTGTGTGTGTGTGTGTGGCAGGGGGCGCCGGCGGGGGGGGTGTGTGTGTGTGTGTGTGTGTGGCAGGGGGCGCCGGCGGGGGGGGTGTGTGTGTGTGTGTGTGTGTGGCAGGGGGCGCCGGCGGGGGGGGTGTGTGTGTGTGTGTGTGTGTGGCAGGGGGCGCCGGCGGGGGGGGTGTGTGTGTGTGTGTGTGTGTGGCAGGGGGCGCCGGCGGGGGGGGTGTGTGTGTGTGTGTGTGTGTGGCAGGGGGCGCCGGCGGGGGGGGTGTGTGTGTGTGTGTGTGTGTGTCGCAGAGGGACCCGGCCGGCAAGGGCTGTGTGTCTTGCAGAGCGACCTGGAGGACACCCCGGACCTGGTGGAGATGCGGGAGGAGGGGAGCTCTCTGGCC